GTTGAAATCCGACCACGGTGCGCTCTAGCGCAGGTATTTGAAAACGCCAGAGGAATTTGAGTAATGTGACAAAATCCTAACCTAATATTTGAATGATTGTTGTGTTTATTTTTAGTAGTTGTTTACCTTCGTAGGCATTCAAATTTCTTTGAAAATATTGAGAATTAAAATGAACTATTAAACTGTAGTGTTTGGTGTCGGTTGATATTGAAAAAGGATTATGCGGTTTTTCGCGAATTACTGACAATAAACTTGTAAAAGTGCATAGAGAAATTATTGGTTGCTGGAAGAACTTTTGTGTGGTGTGCGTCATGCGAGTTTCCCAGTTGCTATTTTTTGAACTTTTAATTTACATTAGGTCTGTTTCTGCAGAAATCACAAACCAGTCAGAGTGAATTTTATTGGCTGAAACTAGTTTTCTGACTGTTTCAACCAATGAAATTCGCTCTGACTGGTTTGTGATTTCTGCAGAAACAGACCTATTTTATAATCAACAAGCAGAGACTTACTACGTTAGAGAAACTTGAAATTTTTTCAATTACTTGAAAGCCTCCAATTGGAAATACCAAGGTAAAATCACGCAAGACACAAATATGAGGTAAGAATTGTTATTTAATTTTTGGATTTGGACTTGGGCCTAATATGCATTTTTTATTATGTAAGTATAGGAATTAAATAAACAACAGAGACTGAGACAGAGACTATCTCTGAGAACATGGGATATGGTCCTACCTGTGGAGTTCATGTCTTGAATTTCTTGCTCCTGTTTCTGCATGATTTTATAGGTTTTTCATAGTTTTAGTTTCCTTAGGTTTTTTCTTACAGGGCGCAATTATAGCAGGTAGGTACCCTAAAACTATCACATTTTTTAAAATTTTCAGAAGGAAGTTTATAAGGGAGAAAACCTCGATTTTAGACATTGGCACGTTCGCCATTCTGTCAAGGTTATATTTCCGACATCATGTATTTCCAGGGTATTTGGAGGGTATTTCCATTTCTTTGGGTATTTCCGATAATAATTATACCTAAACTGATTGTCAGATATTTCCATATCGAGGTCCATATCAACCACTGAAAATCAGTGGTGGAATCAGGCATATGGAAAATTCTCAGGAAAATTCATTTTCCTTTTGCAGAAAAAATAGTGTTTCTTGTTAATTTCTCGTTTATGGGATTTTAACACATTAGGTACTTACAATATCACATATTTCTCACCAATTCAAAATTACTAATTTATAAAATTTCATAACTGATTTAGGTACCCAGATTAATTCTTATCAACTGATTTATATAGAGATTCACAAATCTTTTTAGCTGATTCAGTGAAATTTAGGCTGATTTATAATGATTTTAGGTGATGAACAGAGAGTTGTTGTGATCGATGTTGTGATTTACATGTGATTAATCTGGATTTTTGGAGATTTCTCTTGATTTTTAGAGATTTATCCTGATTTAACTAGATTATTAGTGATTTATTGTGATTTACAGATTTGTACCTTACAATTTATGCTGATATTATTTGATTTGAGAAAAATGAACTGATTTATATAGATTTATTCTTGGATTTATTCAAGAGATCAATTGATTTATGCCAGGTTTGTACACCGATTTAACGGAGTTATCTTCCAGGGCCAGGACCGGCTTAAGGGGGGGGGCGAGATGGGCGGCTGCCCAGGGCGGCACGATCCAGGGGCGGCAAATTCATACCACAACAACAACAAAAATTAATAGAAAATGAAACCAACGACTTAAAAAAAATTAAGAAATATAAATCGAACAGTGAACCAATTATACAGGGTTTTTGGTAGGTACATCGAAAAGAAGATTTCAAGAAGATTTCAATGAGTGAAAGTTGGGGTCATTTGGAAACCGGTGTGAAGTTAGCAGCCGTTTTCCAGCAGCCAAAATTGTGAAGTTAGCAGCCATTTTCAGCAGCCAAAAATGTGAAGTTAGCAGCCATTTTCAGCAGCCTTTTTTTATTTATATTTTTTCAACGTGAAGGTAGTTTCATTAATGTCTATGGTAGTTTCCTCAAACCAACATGATGTGAGGAGGCTGTTAGGACACACAAAAAAATACATTCAAAAATTTAGTAACATAAAATATGATTAACTTATGAATCCTTTCACACAGCTTATTAGGGTGATATATGGTGCTTAATCTAAAGTTTCGAGCCTTCACGATCCTTCAGGGATAAAAAAACCACCCCCATATGTTGAAAAAATCGCGGAAAAATAGTAAAAAATTGTTTGCGTTAATAAAACTTTGCACACAGCTCATTAAGGTGTTGATGAGCCTACAAAATTAAGGACAACCCCTTACTACCCGTCTGGGTAGGAAAAAACTTCAAAAAACCACCCCCATATGCTAAAAAAATCGCAGAAAAATAGTAAAAAATTGTGTGCGTTGAAAAAACTTTGCACACAGCTCATTGAGGTATTAATGAACTTAAAAAACGGAGGACAACCCCCTACGACCCGTCAGGGTAGGAAAAAACTTCAAAAAACCACCCCCATATGCTAAAAAAATCGCAGAAAAATAGTAGAAAATTGTGTGCGTTAATAAAACTTTACACACAGCTCATTGAGGTGCTAATGAACCTACAGAAACAAGGACAACCCCTTACGACCCGTCAGGGTAGGAAAAAACTTCAAAAAACCACCCCCATATGTTAAAAAATTCGCAGAAAAATAGTAAAAAATTGTGTGCGTTGATAAAACTTTGCACACATCTCATTGAGGTGCTAATGAACCTATAAAACGAAGGACAACCCCTTACGACCCGTCAGGGTAGGAAAAAACCACCCTAATTAGTTGAAAAAATCGCAGAAAAATAGTAGAAAATTGTGTGTGTTGATAAAACTGTACACACAGCTCATTGAGTTGTTAATGAACCTACAAAACGAAGGACAACCCCTTACGACCCGTCAGGGTAGGAAAAAACTTCAAAAAGCCACCCCCATATGTTAAAAAATTCGCAGAAAAATAGTAAAAAATTGTGTGCGTTGATAAACCTTTGCACACAGCTCATTGAGGTGTTAATGAACCTACAAAACGAAGGAAAACCCCTTACGACCCGCCAGGGTAGGAAAAAAACACCCCCATATGTTAAAAAATTCGCAGAAAAATAGTAGAAAATTGTGTGCGTTGATAAAACTTTACACACAGCTCATTGAGGTGCTAATGAACCTATAAAACGAAGGACAACCCCTTACGACCCGTCAGGGTAGGAAAAAACTTCAAAAAACCACACCCCTATGTTAAAAAATTCGCAGAAAAATAGTAGAAAATTGTGTGCGTTGATAAAACTTTGCACACAGCTCATTGAGGTGTTGATGAACCTACAAAATTAAGGACAACCCGTTATGACCCGTTAGGAAGGATAAAAAACACTTCTATTTAGGAACATTTTAATACATTCCAACATACTCCGGTTTTTTTTTTCCAAAGAATATAGAAAAAAAAAACTTTTATTTGAATTTTTTCAAATTTCTCAATATTATTTGTTGCAACCTGTGGCAACATCGGATACATAAATTTCTTCTGTGGGAAATTCTGTCCTGTCTTCACGATAATATAATAAAATACCGTCTGGTGTTTATGACCAAAATGGCCCATGAATAAAAGCTTTAACAAATTCAATAAGGTGTAGGTAAACTTTAAACTACATAGGTACTATTAGGCATCATTAGGTACAGTCCACCGACGTGGCGCCGCTTATTTTTTAATTTTTGGAGGATAACACCAGGAGAAACACCGATAATTTTTCACGATTGCCTGTTCTCAATAATTTCACTCGACCTAGCAAAGAAAACACGTATGGGTGAAAAATTATCGTAGGTAATGGTAATACCATAAGAGCTCGGATTTAGCCGGATATTTTTTGGCTTGCTCTCTCATACTTACTTTCATGCAATTTATCTCGATCTATTCTACAAAATCACTCGCGTTAAATTTCCTGAAAGTAAGTATTCGAGACCAAGCCAAACCAGATGTCAAATTTTTGACATAACGCTTCCTAGACAAATAACTATCTAATTAATGATTGTCATTCTCATTATTTGTCATTTCAAATCATGAATTCATTTTAATAGATCTTGACGTTTTTTCAGGTTTTAATATCATTTTTTTTCAATTTTTCAATTTCAAAAATGTCCCAATGAAACCTATTGAGATTTTTGAGATTTTTTTTTTTTATTATTTTTTTTTTTGTATTATATAAAGCAAAATGAGCTCTAACCAATCAATGAAAAAAAAGATGGCCTTCCCATTTAAAAAAAAGATCAATAACGTCATATCTTGGAGAGGAATTTTTTTTTTCCTATATCTCTGCATAACTTTTCCCTACACGTCTTCTTATACCTTTTTCCAAAATTTCATCAAATTCCATCGAGCCGTTTTCTCAAAAAATTGCCAACACACACACACACATACATACATACATAATACATACATACACACAGACGGAAATGTGCCACCTTGCCAAAAAGGCTTAAAATGATCCAAAACGTCAAGATTTAATGAAATTTTGACATGTTCAAAATCGGGCTATCACCATAGCTTCCTATATCTAGGAAGCTAAAAATATCCGGCTAAATCCGAGCTCTTATGGGGTAAGGGGTTGTCCTTCGTTTTTTAGGTTCATTAACACCTCAATGAGCTGTGTGCAAAGTTTTATCAACGCACACAATTTTCTACTATTTTTCTGCGAATTTTTTAACATATGGGGGTGGCTTTTTGAAGTTTTTTCCTACCCTGACGGGTCGTAAGGGGTTGTCCTTCGTTTTATAGGTTCATTAGCACCTCAATGAGCTGTGTGTAAAGTTTTATCAACGCACACAATTTTCTACTATTTTTCTGCGATTTTTTTAGCATATAGGGGTGGTTTTTTGAAGTTTTTTCCTACCCTGACGGGTCGTAAGATGTTGTCCTTCGTTTTGTAGGTTCATGAGCACCTCAATGAGCTGTGTGCAAAGTTTTATCAACGCACACAATTTTTTACTGTTTTTCTGCGATTTTTTCAACATATTAGGGTGGTTTTTTCTTACCCTGACGGGTCGTAAAGGGTTGTCCTTCGTTTTGTAGGTTCATTAACACCTCAATGAGCTCTGTGCAAAGTTTTATCAACGCACACAATTTTCTACTATTTTTCTGCGAATTTTTTAACATATGGGGGTAGTTTTTTGAAGTTTTTTCCTACCCTGACGGGTCGTAAGGGGTTGCCCTTCGTTTTGTAGGTTCATCAACACCTCAATGAGCTGTGTGCAAAGTTTTATCAACGCACACAATTTTTTACTATTTTTCTGCGATTTTTTCAACATATTAGGGTGGTTTTTTCATACCCTGACGGGTCGTAAGGGGTTTTCCTTCGTTTTGTAGGTTCATTAACACCTCAATGAGCTGTGTCCAAAGTTTTATTAACGCACACAATTTTCTACTATTTTTCTGCGATTTTTTTAGCATATAGGGGTGGTTTTTTGAAGTTTTTTTCTACCCTGACCGGTCGTAAGGGGTTGTCCTCCGTTTTGTAGGTTCATTAACACCTCAATGAGCTGTGTGCAAAGTTTTATCAACGCACACAATTTTTTACTATTTTTCTGCGATTTTTTTAACATATGGGGGTGGTTTTTTCCTATCCTGACGGGTCGTAAGGGGTTGTCCTTCATTTTGTAGGCTCATCCACACCTTAATGAGCTGTGTGCAAAGTTTTATTAACGCACACAATTTTTTACTATTTTTTCGCGATTTTTTCAACATATGGGGGTGTTTTTTTTTATCCCTGACGGATCGTGAAGGCTCGAAAGTTTAGATTGAAGATTAAGCACCATTTATCACCCTAATAAGCTGTGTGAAAGGATTCATAAGTTAATCATATTTTACGTTACTAAATTTTTGAATGTATTTTTTTGTGTCCTAACAGCCTCCTCACATCATGTTGGTTTGAGGAAACTACCATAGACATTAATGAAACTACCTTCACGTTGAAAAAATATTATCAAAAAAAGGCTGCTGAAAATGGCTGCTAACTTCACATTTTTGGCTGCTGAAAATGGCTGCTAACTTCACAATTTTGGCTGCTGGAAAACGGCTGCTAACTTCACACCGGTACAAACTTTCATACCTTTCGAAAATTTTGCCGACAAATTTTTTTCTCTTGTGATATTATATATGATTATTTCATTCATCATAAAATAGAACCATTGGACAACGTCATTTTTTGAATGAATTTTGTTTAAATAAGTGATTATTGCACAAGACCTTGTTTATTCGCGATTAAATTTTTGTTTACCTTTTTGACAGAATTTTGATAGAAATATTCTGACATTTTATAATAATTAGAACTCTTTGGATAGGATTGACGTCAACAAAGACTATCCAAAACACGTGACACAAATATGGCTGACAAGAGGCACACAAATACAAACCATAACGTCATTAGGTTATGTCATTAATGATCATAATCAAATACTCATTTTCTATTGTGTGCGTCTCAATTTTTGGCCGTTTCTACCCAATTACGGAATCCCTATTGTTTGGGCAAGATTGCTCTACCTAGATTTCACTTGGACACCCAGGACCTACCCTTAAAATTTGAAAATATTTATTTGTTGCAACTCCACCGTTCAGTGTTGTGCTACCTACTTTAAATAATGGATACAGGAGCATCTACAGAAAAACGATGAATGGCTGTTGATGTGTTGGCGGATTCCATTATTAATTATTTTCTTATCGGAAGTTTTCCCTCATTTTTGAAGCAATCTTGGGTAGTACCTTTGTTTAATAGGGGGGTAATAAGAATTTACCATCTTATGACCGGCCAATATCCTTACTGGCAACTTAGACTAAAATTGTAGAGTGGCTAATTAAGGTGGATGGTGAGCTTCCTTGAAAGACATAAATTGCTTTCTCTGTCTCTGTTTCAGCAGTCAAAAAACACTGATGATGCCATATTTCATCTCCTGGATGAGCTGTATTAGAAGATAAATGACGAAGAAGTGGCTGCGGTAGTTTTTTGTGACCTGAAAAAAGCTGTCGATTGTGTCTATCATGAAGTACTGCTTCTAGGGGTGCAGTACTTCAGAGGGGTTGGATATCACTGCAGGAGTGCCCTAGGGATCTGTTCTATTTCTAACATTAATAAAAATACGAGTGAAAAGAACGAGTATCAAAACGCAAATGAACAATGAGCACTATTTTTTTGAAAAAAATTTCATGACACATTGAATGACATATAAAAAAAGGGTTTGTGTGCCTCTTGGCGGCCATTTTAATTCAAGTTTGACAGCATCTTGGATAGTTCAATTCAATCCTAATTATTGAGGAAATAATTTAGCCGTATACCACTCGACCTATAAATTTAAATGGATTAAACTATCCAAATATTTTTTACAATATTTTGCTTTTTGGCAAATAGTTTCATGCACAATAACTTTTAAATAAAATCCCTCGACCGCTTCGCGGTCTCGGGCTTTTATTAAGTTAGTGTGCATTCAACTATTTTCCAAGCAAAATTATACTCAAAATATGTTGTATAGTTTAATCGGTTAAATTTAAAGCTGTTGTGATATACTTAATATATGAGAAAAATGTTCAAGGGATTGAATTGAAATTTTGCAAGTGTATGTTCTGTGAGCTTTTTGAATTTTGGGTACGGTTTGTTAGGATAGTACGCGACGCACAACTGACAACGTAAACGTCGTCATTGGTTCAGGTATGACGTACACTCGTCACCTGACTTCAGCGTCAGAAAACGGGTGTACGTCATACCTGAACCAATAACGACGTTAACGTTGTCAGTTGTGCGACGCGTACTCTCCTAACAAACCGTACTTTAAGTAGACATTTTTATTCCAAGTTTTCGACATTTCTTTTTTTTGTAGTTGGAAAGGGAAAAAAAAAATTCACATACCAGCTAGAGGATTCCATTTGCTATCGAGATCACGAAATCGAATCGCTTTCGTATACATACAAAATACAAAATCGAGACCGAAAGCGCCTAATCTGATATCGTATTGTCAATTGGAATCCAGGCCCAGAATTAAAAAAAATTCGAAAAAATAGAAAAATGAAAAAAAAAAGGTCATTTGATTTACCTGTACCTGTATGTACGGTCACATTTATTTTGTATGCGACAAATGCAAAGTCTGTTTTTTTTTAAAGATAAAAGTCAAAATGACATTATGTTGGCAATACCATTGTCAACGCTTCCAAATTTTTTATGTAGTGTAGTATAACATACCTGGGTTCGTTCAGAAAGATTGAACGGTGTGAATTTTTATTACCTTTTAAGCAAGCAATCTTCTGAAAAATGAAAAACAAATAGGGCCTACGTTGTGGAAACTTACTCAATTTCACTTACTGGACATGCGCTCGACATAGGACATAGCAAATATTTGGGAAATTTAAGGGAAGTTGTGAGATGCAAAAGAAACGAAAAATTTGTGAAACGTCTACTTTATTATTAAAGTAAATTGTACCGTTCTCATCCTGGAACTAACGAGGGGAAAGAGCACGGCAGAGAAACCCTCGATCTAACATTCCTCAAAAATCGTAACATACTGTGTCATTTTAATAATAATTGTGAGTCATTAATTAAATAAAAGTTGAAACTAGGTACCGCCTCTGTTCTTGTGCTAAAATTTTAATTAAAAAACACACTACATTCAATCAACACTACCTGTAATCAATACTGAAGAGTTTTTTGTTAGCCGGTCTGCCGAAGGGTACTGAGGTCCCATACGGGATGCTACTCAGCTATAGTTGTTATTTTGAGCCAATATCTCTTTCCTTTGCTTGGTAGGATATTCGCTCGTCAGGGTAGGAAAATGTAAGTTGATTCAGCAAGGCCCTAATGCACGTTCTGAATACACAAAATCAAAATCTCAGCACAAAAAGACAGCACATAATGTCTTAGGTTTTAATTTATTTATTTATCTGTGTTGTCTACAGCATGAAACGATTTTTGTTAAATACATAAACAATGTACATGTTATAGAAAATTGTTATAAACAGACAAAAAAACATAAAAATGAAAAAAAGTTATACTTGTATAAATAATTGAACTCTCAAAAAGCAAAATAACAATTATTCAACTAACCTGTGATCGCTTCTTAACACACACACTAATAACAAATTGGATTGAGCAATCAATTTGATGCAAAATAAAAATGAAAATTGAATAATGAATAATTACCAACACGCGTCTAATGGAGCAGTCCAGCTTGTTCCCTAGTCTAATGCCTAATCGCTCCTTCTCTACCTCCCGTTCGGTACGTACCCTTTCAGTACGCTTCACGGTGCATACAAGGTTACAACATTTACTTTTATTCAGTAAACGTTTTTTTGAAAAGTTGAGAATTAAAGAAATAATATTTTAAATAGGTGGTTTTCCTCAGTAGAAAAGGCTTGTGCTGCCAACATAGTTACTACATTTTTAACTTGGGGAATTAATTATCTTTAAAGACGAAACAGACTTTACCTAAATATGAATTTTAAATGCTAGAAATGCAGAAAAAAAAACTTTTAGTAATATACATTCCAATACTTATAATTTTCAATTTTACACTTGCAGCAAAGGGTTTACGTACGGAAACAATATTTGAGGATATACATAAAGTCTGTTTTTTTTTAAAGATAATTCCCCAAGTCAAAAATTTAGTAACTATGTTGGCAACACAAGCCTTTTCTACATAAAAAATTTGAAAGCATTGACAATTTTACATTGTATTGCCAACATAATGTCAGTTTGACTTTTATCTTTAAAAAAAAAAACAGATTTTAGCAAGATATTGAAATAATGGTAGGAGTGGGAACTCAATATTTGCCATAACAGATGGAATTTTGTTTATGCAATTTATTCACAGCAGAAATTCATTTCTCATGCGTGTGTTTTTATTATTTTTTGTGAGTCTTGTGGCTTTTTGTGTACTGAGTAGTATATTTTGTTTGATTCTGTTTTCTAAAGGTGCGTACAGACATGCAACAGAATACCGTAACGTAAGTTCACCGCGAACCAAGTCTGGACTGCACTCTGAGACATAGTATCAGAACATTGAAGGTGCGTACAGACATGCAACGCAACATGTTCTTTTACGCAACGAAGTAAGGATGCGTTAAGGTTCACTTGGGCTAGTTTGATGCAATGGAACATCAGTGCGAAACATTGAGGTGTCCCAGCTTTTATGTTGCTACTTGTATTTCGAGCAAGATTGACGTTGCGGCTATTTAGTGCACAAGAGAAAACACAAACCAAGACGCTTGTGGCAGACTCAATTATTTAACAGTAGAACTGTATACAGTGGTCGTCATTTATTACGAGGCCCAAACTTCAAATTTGCTAGTCTGGACGTGTCTGGGAACCGTAGCGTCGTTTTGGTTTTGCTGGTCACGATTTCAGTGTTCAGTATTTAGTCGATTTAATTGGAGTGGACTGATGAAGTTGTACTAGATTTTATTGAAATTTTAAGTACCAGCTTGCAGCCGCAACGTCCATCTTGCTCGAAATACAAGTAGGTGGCAACAAAAAAACTGGGACGCCTAAATGTTTCATGCTGATGTTGCGCGGCGATGTTCTGTTGCACCAAACTAACCCAAGTCATTTTATCGCAAAGAAAATATAAAATCTGTTCTCACAGAAATCAGAAACCAGCCAGAGCGAATTTTATTGGTTGAAAATAATCAAAAAACTGTTTGTTGGCAATTTGCACCAAACAAAAACGCTCTTACTAGTTTCAGGTTCTGTGACAGACCTATAGACA